TTTTTCTCTTTCACTTGACCATTATTCCATGCCCTGTTACCTTTCATAACTTTATACTCCCATTCTCAAATTTCAGATGATGAATATTTAGACAATGATAACAGTAATTCTGGGATTTAATTTTGAGAACTCATCCACATTTAATATGAGAAGATGATTTGAGCAAGAAGTAAGGTAGAGAGATATGTCTTGAAGATATGCAATCCTTCATACAGGATCATGAGCTTTGTTTAATAGATGATGTTCAAGAAAGGTATTCACAATTGAGATGAAAAATGGCCATCTTTCTTTTACCATTGGAAAAACCATTTATTGCTACCCCTTTGAGCCTATCATGATTTTTTTTTTTTTTCTTTCTTGAAGAACCCCAACCAAGGATCACCCTCTACACTGGAGGGTAATTTTGAAAAAAAAAAAGAAAAAGAAAAAAGCACCACAAAAGGTCTCAAAGATGAAAAGAGAAAGAAAAGCAAAAGAAAAAAATAAATGCCACACATGACTTGGGGCAAAGTAATGAGAATCCTTTGTGTGAGAAAAGAAAAAATAGTGAAACGATGTGGGGCAAAATGCCAAGCTGCATCAAATGATCCTTCGGTCTTGAACCTTTTTAATACATGTTTTGAGCCTATTATATCCATTTTTTATGACCCTTCACCTTGACCTATATTACAACCTTGAAAAGTCCATTTGGATCAAGTGTGAATACTCAACTTGAATGATCATATGTTGAGCGAAGGCATGCTCATGATGAAGCGATGGAATCATGCTACATTACCTTAAAAGTTTGATGTATGAAGGATGTCAATAATAGGTGAAGAATGAGAAAAAAAAGATGATGAAAAAAAAAGAAAAAGAAAAAGAAAGAAAGAATGAAAAAATGAAAAAATGAAAAAAGATCCAAATTGAAAACCTGAAAGGGTGATTTTGGTACCCAAAAAAAAAAAAAAAAAAAAGGATCCAGGTCAAATGGCTCACATGAATGAAAGATCAAAGACATCTGAAGATTTCTCAAAGACTGGGGCAGAGTTCGCCAAGCTCAAGATGACTTCAACTGTAAATGGAATAAGTTTTTGAAAATGAATCCTAGATTAATGTTGAGAATTGTCTGAATATTCATCATTTTGGACATACCATCCATCCCAATGACATGTATCCAATTCATTTCCTTTCCCATTTGCTTTGTACCAAAACAGATCTTCATTGATTATCTTTACCATAATTCACCTTGCGTTCTCTTATTGTTTCACCCCTAGAATGAATTGAGAAAATGCTTGGTTGCATTGTATTTGTCAAAAATTAAAATGATAATAAATGAATGAATATGTGATTAAAAGAGTCTTGCATTCATTTGAAAAGAAATCTAAGATGATGAAGAAATGGTAGAAACCTAAAAGAGATGATTTGAAAAGGTATATGATATAATGGGGCAAATCTTGAAAAGTGATGAATTGATCGATATGACTTGCAAGTGATGATTGAATGATGAGAACAATCAGTGGAGAAAGTCTGTTTTGGGAATGGTTAATGCTGAGACAATGACCCAGTGATGGTGGATGAAACTTGTTTTGAAATTTGTCAGTGTTGAAAAATTCATTGAATGATGGTCAAGTGATGATCGATTGATGAAGCTTATTCCAGAGTATTGAGAAACTGAACAAGGGAGAATGTGAGTGGAAAAGACAAATTGAGAGCTACACTGGTTCGATCTTAGAAGAGCAGTGTAATTAGATCTCTGAAGAACCAAAGGGCTTGATGCCTAAGAAAAGAGCTTGAGAAATTTGAGTACCATACATTGAACATGAATTGATTGGCCAACATTTGCATAGCATGCATTGACATTCATATGCATTTGCACAGGATACACTACTTTCAGAAAAGTATAGTGTATAAATTCAAGAAGCAGGGGTGTTCCAACATCCCACATGGAGAAGACAGATATGAAGATATTTTGCAAAATTGAAAAAGAAAAAGCTTGTCAGGTAAGTCCCTAATCCTTGAAATGGGATGTCTTCTGGTATCAGGGTTGATTTGTAAGACCTTTGGGCATAATCTCCTGAAATCCCTTCAAACACAACTTTCAACTCCTTTGGACATGATTGTCAAGGAGTAATTTATTTTTCCAAAGTCGTGGTACCTCTGTTTAGAGGAGCAATTTACTTTTCGAAGTCGTGGTGCCTCTGTTGAGAGGAGCAATTTATTTTTTCAAAGTCGTGGTACCTCTGTTTAGAGGAGCAATTTACTTTTCGAAGTCGTGGTGCCTCTGTTGAGAGGAGCAATTTATTTTTCAAAGTCGTGGTGCCTCTGTTGAGAGGAGCGATTTATTTTTTTCAAAGTCGTGGTACCTCTGTTTAGAGGAGCAATTTACTTTTCGAAGTCGTGGTGCCTCTGTTGAGAGGAGCAATTTATTTTTCAAAGTCGTGGTGCCTCTGTTGAGAAGAGCAATTTATTTTTCCAAAGTCGTGGTACCTCTGTTGAGAGGAGCAATTTACTTTTCAAAGTCGTGGTGCCTCTGTTGAGAGGAGCAATTTACTTTCCAAAGTCCGTTGCCTCTGTTTAGAGGAGCAATTTACTTTCAAAAGTTGTTGAGTCTCTGTTTAGAGGAGCTTCGGCAAAAAAAAAAAAAAACAAAAAACAAAAAAAAACAAAAAAACAAAAAAACAAAAAAACAAAAAAATCAAAAAAAAAATCAAAAAAAATCAAAAATCAAAAATTAAAAAAATCAAAAAATAAAAAAAAATCAAAAAAATGTTGAGTTGAGTCTTGATTGGGTGTCTACGTCTTTGCGCAATTTCTGTTTCACAGAAAATGTGCAAAGAGGGGCAGCTGTAGACACCCAATTGGGTCCAGGCCCAGATCAATTGGGCCTGGCCCAAATGGGTAAGGCCCATTTCAATCCTATGTTTTTTTTTCTTTTCTTTTTCTTCTGTTGTATTTTATGTATTTTATTATTATTATTATTATGTATATCTTTGTTTATTTATTTTTATTTAGATTAGATTTATATGTATATTATTTATATAGTTATATATTTATTATTATTATTATTATTTTTGTAAGATATTTTTGGGTTTATCTTATTTTATTATTATTATTTTTTTAAATTATCTGTTCTGATTTTTTCCTGATTATCAGATATTTTTTTTACTATAATATCTTTTTATTTATCTGTTCTAATTATCTATTATTTTTTTATATTTATTTGATTTTTTTTGGAAGGTTGAGATTGAAGCTGAAGAATCCTACTGGGAGTGGGGATTCAATCTAAAGAGTCCAATTGGATTCAAAGACTGAATCCCCGTCCAAGGAGGAGTTGGGATTGATCAGAAACTCCTGATCAATCCCTATATAAAGCACCTCCTGGAACAGTTGGAAAGACACAGAAAACAGTGAGCAAAGCTACTGAATTTGAGAGAAAAAAAGTGTTTAGAAGAGTTTTCGAAGGCTAAAGAAGGTCGAGAAGTGTTAGGATAGCTGTAGGGATCTGAAAAAATTTTTTAGAAATTTTTTGCGAAAATTTTTTCTGGAAATTTCTGGGAAATTTCCAGATTCCGGCGAAAATTCCGGCGACATTTGAATTTTCTGGCACAAATTCCGGCGAAACTTGAAGATTCCGGTGACAAACCCAGTTTCCGGCGAGATTCCCAAAAACCGGCGAAGATTCCGGCCATATTCCGGCAAAAATTCCAGATTCCGACGACATTTCCAGAATCCGGCACCGGTGTTCTTCGGTTTTCTAGAGAGAAGGGAAGGAAGAGAGAGAGAGAGGGGAGGAGCGTTCTGCCGAAAAACAGAGGAGAGTGCCTTAAATACCCTCCAAAAACGACGTCGTTTTGGCCTTAAGTAACCAGAGGATCCGCGCGTTTTGCCGTGACCCGACCCGACCCGAGCGTCGACCCGCTTCTGACCCGCGCGTGCCAGCCTCCCTCCGAGCCAAGCCGAGCCGAGCCGAGCTTCCAAGCCGCTCCTCCGAGCCGTTTTTTTCTTCCTTGAGCCGAGCCGAGCCGAGCCGATAGCTGAGCCGCTCCAGGTTTTTTTTTGAATTTTTTTTGAATTTTTTTTTATTTTTTTTTTTTTTGACTTTGATTTTGATCTTGATTTTTTTTTTCTTTTTTCTTTAATTAATCCGACGACGGAGCCTCTACAAGTAAAAACAGTAGTTTTTCTTGCATACTCCTGAGGTGAGGGAATTTTCTCAATTTTCTGCTAAAAGTATTAGAGTCAATTGAGAATAATTTCCGATAATTAATTACTTGGCTGATTTTGATTTTTTTTCTTTAATTAATCCGACGACGGAGCCTCTGCAAGTGAAACAGTAGTTTTTCTTGCATACTCCTGAGGTGAGGGAATTTTCTCAATTTTCTGCTAAAAGTATTAGAGTCAATTGAGAATAATTTTCGATAATTAACTAATTGGTTGATCTTGATTTTTCTTTAAATAATCCGACGACGGAGCCTCTGCAAGTGAAACAGTAGTTTTTCTTGCATACTCTTGAGGTGAAGGAATTTTCTCAATTTTCTGCTAAAAGTATTAGAGTCAATTGAGAATAATTTTCAACAACTAACTACTTGGTAAAATTTTAAGGCTTTTGGATAACACAAATTCAAGCTGGTACCATCTTTTGATGGGCGTTGTGAGGGTGCTATAACCTTCCTCACACGTAACCGAACTCCCGAACTCTGTTCTGGTTAAGCAGACCCGAACCTATTCTTTTAGGGACCCTTAAGCTTAGGTGTTCCCTAAAAGGGCAGATTCCTTAGGTGGCCAATCGCACCTAGGTAAAAAAAAAGATTGGTGGCGACTCCCACAAGTCAATGTCTAGCGATAGATCCCCGGATCTAGACGTTACGACAATAATGATTGCATAAACCGCCTAATTTAAGCTCCGTATTCATATTGCCAAATTTTGCTTTCCTTTTGCTCTAACCATAACTAGATTCAACCTATAACCTTTTGTTGGATCCAAGATACATAAGATTTTTGTTTTTTCCAAAAACAAGAACAAATTTCCATTTTTAATTAAAGTAGTATTACATAAATAAAACTGTCAAACTGTTTCAGTAACCAAAACGCAGCATTTGGGCAAATATCCTTTCTTTGATATGATCCTCTCAAAAAAATGAAGTTACCATGCCAGCACCACAATTGAAAAATTGACAAGCTGAGGACAGATCAAAATCCTTGCATCTCTGGAGCAAGAACCACTTACTCGCCAAGAAATTTACAAGATTGGAAGCTTCTTAGCCACTGCTTACCTTTCTGACTTAACTATTATAATTTATCTCTAATCAAAATCTAGTAGCAGCAGCAGATTGATCCAGCCTGTAAAAAGTTTGCAAAAAGTGCTGTATTCCATTCCATACTGTAACTTTCATGCTATATTTAAACTATATGGAACATCCAAACCCAGGTTTCCTAAACATTATAGCCCCCATCTTGAATAAGACATTCACACGATGTTTTCCCACGTAATCTACTTGCCTTGGGAGAATATTTGTTTACACTGCAATGTCGTTCATGATCTCTTTACAACTTAAGAAGAAATACTCTAATAGTACAAAATGTGCAAGAAACAGGTAAATCCATGACATATACAATATGTCTATCTAAAACTAGCACCTGTCGTATAATGAACCCCCCTCAGTTTGTAGTAACAATGATTGAGGAATCCTTTTACCAGCATTTTAAGATGGCCTACAATGTTAAGCTCATGATCTTCAAATTTTCAGAAGCTCTCTCAACGTCCAGCAACAATGATTCACGAAGCCTCCCAGTTTCATATTTTACTATAGTCAATGTCTCAAGGACAGGAGAATGAGCAAGTATTAGCTTTAAAAATTCCCATTCAGGTTTGGTGCCATGGAGGCCTCTGATCCTCACCACTTTAAGTTGGCTGAAGAAGAAATCATATCGGGACTGTTCTTTCAGAAAACCAAGAACACGTCTGCAGGCCTGATTTGAATAGACAACCTAAGAGGGCAACAAGATATTAAGTCAATGGTAATATAAATAGTTCATCAAAAAAGAAGGAACAATGTAGTAAATTGAACTAAGGGTGTAATATACTAATAAAATACGAGTGTATATTGGGAAATGACTAACTGATATAACGAGTTCCTCTAACTTTGGGGAGCTTCTAAGTATGGAAAAGAAAGCTGCAACATCCTTAAAACTGCTAAATGTTATTTTTTTAAGGTCCAGAAATAAAAGATTCAAGAGCGGTGTTGGAAATCTCTCCGGTAAACTGCCATTAGCTAGAAACTGTGAACAAATGAAAAATCTATATCATGTCAGTAACAGAAATAGACTGATAAGCTGTCAAAGCAGAAGAAACAGAAAAGAAAATTTTTACCTTAATAAAGTCAGAGGACAAAGAAAGCTTCTTGATACCATGTAGACAGCCCAAAACTCTGATTAAATTAGAAGGATTCCCTTTCTCTAATTTCCGAGGGACAGTTCTTCCATCCATGGGGATCATGTGAATATCAACACTAGCCAAAAGTGGACAGCTTTCAAGAGAGATATCTTCAAATTCAGAATCTACTTTCAAGTACTTCAGGTTCTGATTATGGATTCTAAGAATTGCTAAATGATCAATGTTCAATAGGGTCAGTCTCTCAAGAATAGGGCAGCTATGAATCAAACGTTCTAATGTCTCACTAATAATGGAAACCTGAGTGAGCGTAAGGCTTTTGAGACAATTAAAACCTCCAAATGTGGTAGGGAGCTTGAAAATGCAGCCATGAAGCTCTAAGCAAATTAGTTGAGGACAAGAAAAAAGGCATGGAGGCAATTTAAAACGCCTAATAACACTGAAGTCCTGTAGAATTAACTCCTTGATACCATTAAATGTCAGAAAAATTATCCACTCATCTAAATCCGAATGGTCTGGATAGCAATAAGCAGCAAGTTTGAACTTCTCTATTGGCCCACTGTGATTTGATCGAACGTGGTTAAAGATTCTCCTAACCTCTCCCCATCTGGCTTTGTCTGGCAAAGAATTGGGGAAGCATTTATCATCGATAACAAACTGTGAGAGGTTAGTCCACTTATATTTCCATGTCCTTGATAAGAGACTAGTCCTAGCTGCATCTCTTAGCGGCAGGTGCATAAGGATGCTGTTCAATACATCCCATGGCAGATTACTAATCCTATCTGACTCCACTGGCTTTTCCATTTTCAGTCCCTTTGAATCCCAGAAGCTTACTGATCTGCTTGTTTAACAATTCGTCAGCTGAAATAAATCCATTCAAAATATTGACTATAAATTTAATGCAGAGATAAATGAAAAGAGAAAGCCTACATCTGACATGTCCTTAAGGCAACACTGAATAATTGATAAATAGATACACCATCAGGTGGGAAAACAAGATCCAATCAATAACAAAACTAAAATGAATATTTGTAGTTGGGGTTCACCCACAAGAGATTATCCCTACAGAGAATTAACATATTCACCCAATCTTTATTAGTATTAATGTCAGCTTCAAGTGCCTATTATAAATCCCATCTTCTCTAACTTGTTCCTATAACATAAAATCATTAAATTGAATATACATTTCATCAAAGACAACCAAACAAAAAAGAATGAAAATAAAATAGGATGTGCAAGCCAGATACACCTAAGAGTCCAGCAGCTCATATTTGGAACCATCTATGACTATGAGTTCACAATTGCCGTAGTGTTCCTCAATCCTGATCCTACAAACTTTCAGATGATGTATTATCAGCTTTTCATTTTTTTTTTTTCTCTTTCCTTTCATTTTTTGAGCACCCAAATCCTTAAAAAAGTAAAGCCCATAGCTTTGCTTGTCATCATGATTTAACAAAATGCATCCAGATATAGACATCTTTAGCCATGATTCTGTAGCTCAAACCGAGCTCATTTGCCACAATCAAAATTAACAATATACTAATTTACCATCTACCAATGTATACGTCCTAACAAAGCTTACAACAAAATGTCATGCGTCAACCTCGTTTCAAATTTCTCACATGGCATAACAACAATATTCTGATCCTTACTGTAACTACATGACCCAAGAGGCATGCACACACACATAAACACATACAAAAACAAAAAGATAGTTACAACCAATCAACTACACATCCCAACCATCCCTATATAGCGCAGGTTGCTTTTCAAACATAAACCCCTATTTCTTAGGCTATTAGCATAGTTGAAACATCCTTTTTTTGGATAAAAGGCAAATTTATTTAATGGTTGAAACATCATCAACGGGGGTTTTGCACAAGCCATACATCTCTACACCTCTATCACAATTTCAACAAAAAACACAAAAACAGAAAAACAAAGATCAAGTAAATATGATTAATTCTTTTACTGATATCCACACATAAAAAAACCTTGATTTCATCTTAGAAAAACAAAGTCACTAAATTTTTTTTTAAAAAAAAAAGGTTGAATAAGTAATCAAAATCTTCCTTTTAACCAAAAATTCATAAACTTTAAACCACTCCATATTCGTCAAATTTTACAATTTCGGGGAAAAAGCAATTTTTAATTCAATTAATGAAAGAAAAGAAAAGAAAACAAATGTTAACAAAATTCTCTAAACCAATTCAATTTCCCATACTTTATCAGCAACCAACAGTGTAATTTTCTTGATACAATCCAAAGTAAAAAAAAAAATCAGATACCCTAAAAAATTTTAAAATATAATCTACACATGGAATATAAACACAAGATCAATGATTAAAAAAACAATTTTTACCCATAAAAAAGGAAAAAGAAAAAAACCCATTAATGAAAATACAAATAGATTGGTATTGAATTATTAAGAAGTATGAGAAGAGTTACCAGTGCATCAGGAATCGATCGAGTTGACCCTTTTTTGCGAGTAAAAATTAAAAAAATAAAATTATTCTTGCTCGTCGTATTTCAGTTTCTCCTATGATGGAAAGCTTCTTCCTTTCACAAAAGAAAACCCGTGCTCTTGTGTGAGCTGAATACTTGAGTCTGTTTAAAGATAGGTTTCCTTTATTATTATTATTATTATTATTATTTGGTTTATTCCATTTGGGCTGTAAAGATGGAAACTTTGAGCTTCCTTATTGAAATTGTCACAGCCTAATAACAAAAAATTCCTTATTGGAAAGTCGGTTTTAAAGTCTAACCACATATGTACAAAATCAAGAGTAAATTACAAAAAAAAAAAAAAAAAAAACTTACAGTATTAATTATTCAATTTTGCGTATTTTTTATTTGATCACCTGATTATTAAAATTTAAGTTTTAATCACTAACATTTAACTAAATGGTTTTTTGTGATTCAATTGTTAATGTTTAATAAAATATTCACAATACATGATAGATACAATGTCAAAAATCATGTGGCATGCCTACATTAGAAAAATGTTATGCTAGAATTGCTGACATGGCAAAGAGGAACACAATTACCTAAAAACTCGTAAGACAAAAGAGTTAATAATTATTTGGATGTTATCATAATTTTAATAGGAAGTGAATAAATTTATTGTATTTTTCATTGAATTTAAGTGTTAATTTCAGTAAAATCAAGTTAACATAAATTTTTTTTAATTATAGTTATAATAATTTTTTTCAATTGTAATTATAATAAATATTATTATTATTTTTAATATTATCATAATCAATCTGATCGTCCATGTAAACGAAGCTTTAGTTAAACTTATAAAAAGGAAGAATTGTTAGAGGGCATTAGCTCTCACTTTCTTTTTTTGCATTTTTTTTTTCTTGCTAATTACTCCCGTTTTTTTTTTTATTTTTTATTATTCTTTAAATTTTTTATATGCCGAAATTCTATTTTGTCATCGTCCATTGTCAGTTGATTTGGGGATTTTTTTTTATTAATTAATAATCTTGAAACAAGAATTTTGGATTGCCAAAATTATAAATCTTCCTTCATACGCCGTTTCTTCACCAATGTAGTGTTTTGTCTTGTTGTTTGATTTATGCTTTAATTAAAGAATGAAAATGATTTAGTTTATGCTTTGGGTTATGGATGTTTAGTGTGTGGTGATGTATTATAGGTAACTTGGTAGCAGTTGGACAATGAATGATTATGGGCGTTTTTATGGATGTTTAAAAAAATTATCAATTAAGAAAATTTTACTTTAATAAGGATTTCAAAGTTAATAGATAAATAAATAATAAATATTAGACAAGCATTTTAATTTAATAAAAAACCATCAATTAAGTAAAATAATTAATTAAAAAATTAAAGTAGTTATATGTTCATTTTTTGTACTTTTAAAAATAGTATATTCATATATAGAATTGCTTTTAATATATAGGATTGATATTAATATTAATTAACATGGCTCATCGCTTCCTGCTTCTAAAAAGATTAAGCAGCGGGAGTTGCTGTGGCAGGGTTGGAGCATGTAGATGGGTTCTGTTTGCCAGTAAGTTTGGGGCTGACATTCGAACATTGGGATAATATTGCAAGGCCTTCAGGCCCTTTGTATGAATGTATGGTCAATGTCTGCAAGTTCCACACCCTCGCATGGCAAACCGCTGCTGCAAATAAGCTTGACAATCTGATCGCCCGACGTGAATTCCATCCGTGTTTAGGCTGTTTTCAGGTTTAGAGACGGTGAAATGTTGGAAGCGATGTTTTTGCATCCCAAAACATTAACGTGAAACTGTGTTTTGTCTTTGGTAGTTATATCTTGTATCATAGCATCGGTCAGAAAATTCAACCTTAAATTCTATTTAGTCTGAGAGTGGAACAAAGTAACACAAGAAGAAGAACGTTGTACAACAAAAACTTAGTTATTAATGACTCCTTATCTACAATAAAAGCATCTAGATTTGATAGTTGTTCAATATTATGTTATGAAAAAAATCAATACGTCTTTAATTGAGGAATTTTATATAAAGTTTTACAAAATTTTCAAATTCTTGATAAAAGAAACCTTGCAATGGGGAGTGCAGCACAATATTTATTTTTAGCACAATCATTCTTGCCCCAAGCAGCGGCTCCTTGATCGTCAAAAACTCCACTGCCAGGCATTGTAAATTGTTCGTATGGTTGAAGACAACCCAATTAGGTTCCTTGAAAGCGCTACGACCTGTTGGAGCCTTCACATTGCCTTGAATCTGAAGCTCAATAGGACCCTTGCAAGGTCCTCCTAGGATTACTTAGTAAGTATATCCCTTCAGGAATCACAATTTTAGTTGGAGTTGTCGAAGCACAGGCTTCTATCCAAGGATCCAACCATGGTTAAGGCAAAAAATAAATAAATAAATAAATAAAATAAAGAAATCACTTGAAAATAAAATTTTATATATTTCACGGTTGGATAAGAAAATTAGGTGCATTTTTTTTTTTATGCGACTCAAATCCGTCTTCTCATTAGCCTTTGTCCCATACTTGGCAACTATATCAAAAATACCTAATCGAACTTTAACGGTTGAAGTGACAAAAACAATAGTATTGATGTAACTGTAATACTCAATTGTACACCCATGTTTTTCCTTTTCCAAGTATTTGGATTTCGTGTTTTCTGTCTTTAAATGACGAATTCTTGTGGAGGAATAGTGAGTTTGCTTTTTGTTTTGTTTCAAAACCTTTCATATAGAGTGCTTGGGGAAGCTACAACCAACCAAATTTTCAACCAAGCATTCTAATTTTATGTAAAATATGGCCTTGCTTTACTTGCTATTATTGGCTCTTTCCTTTTATATCTATCGAGGCACGAGTAACTGCAGTTTGCCACACACTTATACTCAAATTACTCTCTTTTCTTTGGGTGGGACTGTTTGCACTTCAAAAATTTTCAATATACCTCATAAAATTAATTAAATAAAAAATTATTTAAATATTCATTAGTTATTTTTTTTTTTTCATTTACATTCATTCTCGGTGAGTTATCGAAAATGAATTTTTGAAAATTTCTTTAATGAATTGAAAATACATTTTTAAAATTTTTTTAATTATACCAAAAATTCAATTTCAAAAAGCATTATAGTTATTCTAAAATGTATTTTCAAAAAGCATTACAATTATCTGAAAATACATTTTTAAAAGTAATTTTACTTTAATTTATTTGTTGCAGTCTCCAAATGAGTCTATGGTGATTTCTTTAACGTATGCGATGTTTAATTCCCACAATAGAAATCTATACTCTTTTAGCCAACATTATCCATTTAATAACTTTATAAAAATATTTATCAATTCTAACAAACGTGCATTTGAAAGAAGTTGCTTAATGTGAAAAGTATTATGTAAGTGGCTACTGTACCATATGCAATGAGGCAATCATGTTCCATCACACAAGGTGTAATAGTTAATTTGCATATGTCTTTTCACATTAAGTGATTCCTCTCATATGCATGTCTATCAAAATTGTAAAATGTTACAAATATTATTGAACGTACAATACTTGGTGACCAAAAGATTAAAGCTCCCTATTGCTAATGATATAATGAGATAAATTTTTGTATACTAAAAAGTTATTTGTGTTTATTGGTGGTCAAAGGTTATTGTGTACTGAAAATTCATTTCTAAAAAGTTTTGAATGATTCTGAAAATAAATGTCTGAAAACTATTAAAAAATTTTGGAAATATACTTATGAAAATTCTTAAAGGTTTTTAGAATTGAATTTTCAAAAACGATTTTGAAAAAGAATTTTTGATATGTTGAAAAAGTTTTTGGACATGCATTGTGGAAATTTACACTCAACCTGCTAGATATTATCCATTTGATATGAAAGCTTTATGGTTTTGTCCCACAAAAAAAGACCTCACAAGTTTGGATTTAAGTTTTTACTTATATATCATACTATATCCATATATCTTCTAATATAAAATTGGGAGCATCACAATCTCTTCACTTAAAACGCTTTATGTTCTTGTCAAGTCGAGTCCAATCACATGACCAATATCACATCAAATGTTGGGATTTTAGAGGCGACTCTCTATTGTATAGTACTTAGTGACTCCCACAATATAGCACTTAGTTTTTGTTATTAGTGATAGCTTTGACATAATTTATGGAGACTCGCATCCAACTTGTGAGGTATTGTTTACTTTGACTCAAAGGTTTTATGATTTTATCCCATAAAAAATGTCTCATAAGTTTGAATTTAAGTCTTATTTATATATCATATCATATCTATATATTCTTTTAATGTGAGATTAAGGACGTCATATCCATTTATGAAAATCTTCAACGCATTCTAGAAATTATTTTTGGAAGTTTAAATTGTCGCCTCAAATAACACCCCTAAATTTAAAATTTAAAATTTTTAAAAATTAAACATAAAATTAAACAAAAGATAAAAAAAAAATGATTTACTTACGATTCTAAATTGTCTAGCATTAAAATCAAGATTGAGGCTTAACTTGGGGCTCTTAAAGAGTTTAGAGTTTCGGTGAAAAAAAAAAAAAGGGGGTGTGGGGTGTTTGGCTTTTTAAGAAATTAATGTTTTAATTTGGAGTGTAAAGAGAAGAATAGATGGATGTTAATAGCAATGGGACATGAAGAGAGGAAATGAGAGTGTAAATTATCCATTTTCTTTTCTTTTTATATTTAGTATTGAGAAAAATATGAAAAATATAAATTCAAACCTTCCAATGAAGTTTTTAAATATATAACTTATAAAATTTACTTATAAATATAAAATATAATAAAAGTCAAAGTTACAATTATTTTATCATGAAAAGAATCAAATGTGATGAGCTAACAAATTTAGGCATAATTAATAGAAAGTAGTAGAATATAATTTTACTTACTAACAAAGTACAATAATATAAATTATAGTACATTTCAATGTAAAAATCAATCAAGATTAT